CTGGCAAGACAAGTTGCTCCTTTAAAAAGGTCTGCTTCCATGTGTCACTGATGAATTTACAGGGTTGTCAATGTATTAATTGGAGAGTAAGATGCAGTTGGCAGCAATCATCTTGCTGCATGTCCCTTCCCTGGTGGGAGGTGCTACCTTCTCTGCCTACACCATGCTTTAAAGTAGTATGTTTACATATTGGAGCAACTACTAGGTCACGTTTTTTCTGAAAAGTTGTGAAGTCTGTCAAAAGCAAGGGCCACCTCTGAAATGATTGTTTTCCACAGTTACCTTTACTGATAAAATGAAGCTGTAGACATTTTAATTGTTACAGACAATACCATGCTGTGCTACAGCAATAATACCAGTAATAAATATTCAAGGGAAAATTCTTGCCATCACTGTAGGGTGATAAAAAAGGCCTAACAGCTCATTATCCAGTGGTGACTGATCAGATGAAGCAGTCCACCACTCTTTTCTCTCATGCCTAGTGAGCCATTCTACAGCTAATACTCTGCTGTTTGACTACTCAGTCATTGTACCACCTACGTGTCTTCAGTTAGCAAAGAAGAATGTCTGAATTCTTCACCCCTTTGTAACTAGAAATGCTGGAATTAAATATGCACATGCAAATTATATTTTGTGTCTGTCTTTAATTATGGACTTTGCTCAATAGGAACGCTTAAAAAAATAAGTGTCCTTAATGGCACTGTTTTAAAACAAAGCACAACCTTTGTGTTTCTGATGGGTTGGCCACACATATTACAGTATTTATTAAACAGTCCTAGGATTGTTTTGAAGCATCTACAATATCACACATAGCAGTCATTCATTAGGAGCAAGGTAGATTTTAGCAACATTTTTTCAGTGACCTTTTGAAATGGATAAGTGAGAAGTAGCTTGCACTTGTGATTCTACTGAAGTAAAAATTGCCATCATTTCCTTGTAAGTACCCCAGCAGCAACAGAATGCACTCTCATCTCAGAATCTGCTACCCTGATCTCTGTGGCATTGACCAGAGAAGGTTATCTGTAAGCAGAGCTTTGAGGAAAACAATTTTAGATTTCCTTCCTTGTTGTTTGTTCATACTTGTTCTACCATACAGACAAGTTTGTGCTAGGTTAAGGGTTTGTGTATTTGTTTCTGCATAACTTCTTAGGCCATGTAGGAGTTAAATTGTCTTCTTGTGTTAGGGACTGTTCTTCTGATTTGGCATTTGCTATGTGTGGAGCCAGAGATTACAAACAAGGAAGCAATTCATCTTGTCATTAAGATTCATTCCATTTGTGGGTCCAATACTGTACGTGGTTACATTAGTGTAATCTCAAAATACTACCCAGAATTAATTTGAATTACTTGAAATTCCATAGTTCTCTAATTTTAGAGAGGACTTTATGTTAAGATTTATGCATGCCCCAATGCTCTCCTTTTATTTTGGTACTATAGGGAAAGTTTGAAAAATTGTCATCAATGTAAACCAGAAACACCTCAGGCAACTGAATGCAGGCCTTACGTTATTTTTGTTATTCATTAACTATTCTGTTATTCCTCTCTCCTCCTCCCCACAACCACCTCTCTCCACTGCCCCCAAAAAACCACTAAGGAAACAAGCACACCACAATAAAAATGCAAATAAAGGGAATAATTCCAAATAGACCATAAAAGACAGCATTTATAACCCTGATAGAAATGCCAGTCAGCTTTTTTTTTTGATGTAAAGCATCTGTCTCCAAAAGGAAATGAAGGCAGGCCTGTTTCTCCTTTCAAGTTTCTGAAGTAGTAGGTGGTGTCATTTGTTATACAGTGCTTCAAGTCCCATGTTATTGCACTGGTAGCTGTTGACTGCCTTTGTTAACATACTGAAAAGTTTTATCAGCTGTCTTTAATAAAAGACAATCTATGTGAAGAAAAACTATAGCAAATGTCTCTTGTTCTCTTATCCTCTGACCAACCTTTATAGCTGTTAGAGAGCAATGGCAGTGATGTATAATCTTGCAGACATGCAAAATTCTTGTGACTATGACTATAAACAATAGATCTTGGGGTGACTGATACCCTAGAAAGTTAGGGAGCAGTCTTTCAAAAATGCTATGCACTTTCTCAATTGAAATGTAAAGGAGTTGGAATGAACTTTCAGGACTACCTGAAATGAGTTATCAGTTCACGTTTTACATGGATACATTAGTTTAAAGCATTAATGGCATAGAATTTGCTAGGCCTCCAGGAAATTAGAGATGATGCATAGGAGTTGGAAAATTTCAGTTAAAAGGCATGCAGTTTGTCCTTTCTATTTGTTTTTGTTGCTTGCTCTTGTGAAATGATAGATCAAAGAGATGATGGTAGAAGAGTTTCTTAGGTAGTTGAATAGTCTTATATATGTGATCATCTTTGGAGTACTGGATTAATCCCATACACACACCACATTTTCAGGAGAGTATGGAGGAAATGGAAAGGAATTCTGGAAGCCATATGAGACTTCTGTGTTACTTACCACACAATAGGCTTTGTGGATGCTGTAGAATTGGCCCTGAGCACATTTAAACATGTGTCTTATTTATATGAGTTTTTCTAGGTTTAAAGTTGTTTTAATCCTTATCCATTGTAAGCTTTGTCTCGGTGCAAACATATGCACATGGTTATATTTCAGGTGAGAAGTCAGCTCTGTGTCAATAACTGTGCTCTTGAAGAAAGCTGTTTGATTCATGAACTTTTATTAGACAAATGAGTAGAGTGAATAGAGGGAATGGACGTTCCTACTCGTGATGTGAGAAACTTCTCTCAAACAATCTGGAGTCTAAAAATAAATGAATAAATAAAATATATGGATATTGGGACAGCCATCCATACACAGTAGAGCAGATTTCCAAGCCTTCTTAACATAGTAACATCAGTTAGCACCCAGAGCGTCGGTAATTAAGAATTGTTGTATTATTCCATTGTAAACTAGTATGCAAGACTGGCATTGCAAAGGTGAAGCTATGAAAATGTGGCTGATGATACGTGTTGCCTGTAGCAAAGATTACATTTCAGGGGCATGGTTTTCCTTCTCTGTACAGAATATTACTGAAGAGGAAATCTTAGAGAGTATTTAACTGGCAAAACTACATAAAACCCAGCTGGTTTTTTTGTTTGTTTGTTGATTCTCAGTAGAAGGAAGTAACTGACTTAGGGTAGGTGGAAAAAAATCTGTCAGGGTAAAGTAAGAAAAATTAAACCTAAAAATAACATCTTCAGATTCCAATGCATTTCCATTGTGATTCCATTGAGAGAGCTGAACTAATTTTGTTTTGCCTAATTTTGAAACTCTAGAAGCCACTTATTCTGAGAATTTGGTATGTCGCAATTCTTCCTGAGATTTTGTGATTCATGTGTTAATAGGTGAAAAGAAGCAAGAAGAAAGCTGAAAAAATATGGAATATTTATAGGATATAAAGCTGTAGAATCATCTGAACAACATTTCCACTACAAAATTTAGGTTTTGGACACAAGAATTACGGGGGGTTTGTTGAAGCTTGATTCGAAAGGATAAGAGTAATGAATTTAACTTGCTAGTGGAGAGATTTGGAACATAGATAAGTCTTCCTCATCATAATGATTTCCTACTACCACATCAGTTTGGGAGACCAACTGTAGTGCACATTCTATTGGCCATATACCTACTATATTTTCGTGGAATTATTGAATGGTTTGGGTTGGAAGGGACGTTGAAGATCATCTCGTTCCAAACCCTCTGCCATAGGCAGGAACACCTTCCAGTACACTGGGTTGCTCAAAACACCATGCAACCTGACCTGGAATGCTTCCAGAGATTGGACATCTGAAACGTCTCAGGGCAGGCTGTTCCAGAACCATTTTCCTGAACTTATTGTCACTGAGGGACTTCTAAAGCATACAAACACCCTCTCCCCGCAGTAATCTGAAGCTGATTTGCCATGTGGCTTTATATTTTGAGTATTGTATTTTGATCAGAGAACTGCTGAGTGGTGTCTTGAAACACTTGTCCTCTGAGGCAAAACCATGTGACCAAAAGTGAGTGTTCCTGAAGCTCATTGGAATTTACAGTGACTTGAGAGGGAGAACCATAGTGAACTTTGTGTAGCATTTTTTCCCCTTCTTCTTTGAGAGGCAAGGTACTGGTTTGGCAAATGCCTTTACTGTGCTCTCACTACCATGTGAATACTTTTGGTACTTGCCAAAAAGTAGGTTAGACTGTTTGTAGCTTCATAAATGCGCTTTTCTGCTCTTTTAGTATTTGTTAACTCCAATGACCAGGCATATTTGTATCATGAAGAATCTATTATTTCATAATGGAATAATCTAGAGATGAAAAAATAAAAACAAGAAGTATTTTTTCTTAGCTGAAGATGGAAAAATTGTTAGCAACATAAGAAGCTTTTAAATGGATTTGTTACGAAATTTTAACATCTTTCTTATTAAAATAGCATGTGTTTCCACCATTATTAATTTTATCCAGTCATTCATTAAGAAATAATTGCCACAGCCTGAATCTAAAAAGATATCCTAGAACCCCTTAATAACCTTAGAATCTGAGAACAGGTTGTATTTTCTACTAGTTATAATTAAGACAAATAGAAGAAAAGGATAAGTTCCAATGTGTTAATTTCCAACAATTATAAATTCTTCATTGGCAAAGGGTTTGATTAAAATTAAATTCCTATCTTTAATCCAGTTTTGTATTACTTTAATTTGTTCTTGGAACCTGTGCTATACTGACATTACTATATATAAAGCTTATTGAGTTCTGTGTTTTCTCATTAAAGTGGGAAGTATATGTTTGTAGACACCAGAGCTTGACCTGTTCAAAGCACAAAGTGTGCAGCAGCTGTTCAGGAACTTTTTCTTGTTATCTCTATTTGCTTAAATTACTAAATTACTTCCATGAAAAGTCTGAAAACACAAGGGAATAATTTGTTTAAGTAGAAGAAGATTGTCTAAAAAGAAAACTTGAAAATATTCCTAATATTCTTCCTTTTTTTTTATTGTGCCAGTATCCAGCTGCCTTAATGAATCTTGGAGCCATTCTCCATCTGAATGGTAAACTGAAAGAGGCTGAAGAAAACTACCTCCTTGCTCTTCAACTTAAACCTGATGATGTCATCACCCAGTCCAATCTGCGCAAATTGTGGAATATCATGGAGAAGCAAGGTTTGAAGACATCCAAAACATGATAATGAAAACTATAAATTTTTCTTCCTTAAACTTATGAAATCCACAAACTAGAACTTCCACACTCGGTTGTTCAGTCAGAGAACTCCCTGGACTTGAGTGCAAGGATCACAGGTCTTAGTTACTGCTAAGGAGAAACTATTCTGCCAGATAAATAGAGTAAGAGATACTTTGAGGTATTTGTGAAGGACTTGTTACCCCACAAAAATATTTGGAACCATAGCACTTGAGAGAAGGTGTTTGGGCATATTTGATAAATCATTGCAAATCCCATATTGCTTACTTTTGGGTGGGTACCTGAAATGTGTACTGTCACAGAAATACTAAGGGAAAATTGCACAGTATACACGAAGCCATATGGGAGTTAGTGGTAATAGTGGGTTAAAGTATTTCGCTGATACTGTAACTCATTAAAATGTATACTAAATCAAACGTGTTTGCAGTTTGTCTTAATGCTGCTGTATCTCACTTTTGAACCATTTGCTTTCCAGTTTCTCAGCTTATATGGCCAATTTTTTTCAAACCTGTCACATGAGTAGATGACAGCATTCAAAGTTGTTTACTGAAACATGCCTCTTATTTCAGCTTGTTAACTTCTAATGCAGGTTTCTTGAGACATACAGTCAAATTGCTGTCAGGTAGACAGAATGACTAAGGAACTGCCCATATTCTACATCAGATATAGTATGTAAGCTGGTAAAAAAAGTCCATAGCTGTGATTTAGCAATACAGGCAAGAGTGATGTTTGCCCTGATACCAAATCAACGTGGTCAGACTGTCATCTTAGGACTGTCATCTTAGGACTTTGCCGTCAGATAAGTCCAACTTTAAACTGGACTCTGAATACAATATTTTTGCAATAACTAGTACAAGTGAGATTTGAAAGTATTAGTGCTTGGATATGCTATAATGAGCCTTCATGAGCAACTCTGAGAAAAGGGAATGTTATCCATTGGTGAGGCTCGCAAATAACTGAAGGGACTAGATTAGATTATGCTTAAAATAGTGTAGATCAAGAGAAATCTGTAGTGGTGGTTACCAGTTACTTTTCACAGTGGTGGTGTTTTAATGAGTATTACCTATTCAGATTCTAACCAAATATTAGCATTCTGTTTGTATTCTGACGTGTGCTAGCAGCAGAGCTGTCAAATATCTAAATATGCTTTTGGTGAGGTTCAATTTATTTCTGTTTCAGAATGATTTGGCCTCATTACTGTTTTAGTCTTCAAATTTTCAAGGTAAAGATAATTTATTTCAAATTGAGTGTATGAAGCTTTAGTCATTTTTTTTCCAGACCATTTATTAACTGCTTTCTTTCTATTATTGCTTGTAAGAAAATTTACTATTTCATTTAATGGACCTTTGATATCTGCTTCAGTATTCCTTTCATAATGATAGATAAAATGTTAAAGTGGTAGAGCACCTTGAACTGAAGCTTCTTCAGGATCTTCTGTTGAAAACTTTTTATTACTGAGAAAGGGTTTGGGGTTTTTAGTTTATGTATTCTTTTTTAACTGTTGAGCACCATTCCAACAAAAATGTAGAGAACTCTTTGCTGTATTTATTTATTTATTACTTGACTGCAGCAATGTTACCTGCCATTAACACGACAAGTCTGTAAGTGTTGCTATTTCTTTTGTTTGGTTTTACTTGCGTTTGTTTTGTGGTTAGTGTACGTACCTAATGGGAAAGGGAACACTTGAGTTATACTCTACCTTCTTGGTCATTCTCCCCTTATACTTGGTTTTTAACTCTGTATTGAAGTAGATTGGGGAATAGATGTTTCAAAGTCAGTATAGTAAAAAAAAAAATATAGTAGTGTGTGTTTCCTTTTCTTTCCTATTGCTCACTAAAATACCATAAGTTGCTAGGTTTACAACTGGCCTGCCAGAAGGGCCAGAGGGGCAAGATTGTCTGGTTTTGTGGAGCGTGTCAAGTTTTTCTCAAATAATGTTGTTACTGGAAAAGCAAAAATGAAGGATCAAAAGTTGAATTTCTACTTTATCATTGAAACCAGTGTTAGAATACAATGGTAGCTTGAACATATTCTCCTGCTTTACTGGCTTTCTGGTAAAAAATATAGGAATAGATAGTCATTATAACTGAACTTGGTATAGAACTGTGGTATCCTGGAGCTTTATTTTCTCAACAGCCATCAAACTCCGATGGCTTCTTGGTCTTAACCATTCACCATGTTATTTGTCTCCTTCAACTTGTACTTATTGTTGTTTAATAATTTTTATTCATTGCACAAAAAGGGGGAAAAGGGGAGCACTCCTGTGATACGGTGTCATGCTTGCATTGATAACTGGTTTTGTTTGTTTCTTTAACAAAAAAAAAAAAAAAAAAAAAAAGGAAGAGAAAGAAAAAAGGACTACCGTAAATTTACCAAGAATGTCCCTGAATACATTTTTTTAATATAGGTCTGGGATTGATAACTTTCTTCTTTTGGGATAAATTTAAAACATGTTTAAAATATGTCTCTCTGCTCAGGGATTTATGGTGGATTATTGCAGACAGTGCTAAAAAAATGTAAAAGAGCACAAGATCAGTTTACTAAATTAAAACTTTATTTTTTCAAAAACTGTTATTTGTATAAATTATCAGATTTGTAGGCTTTCCTTTTTGTAGAAATAATTGTTTATGTGCCAGATAAAAAAATTTCAATTTTGTTTCAATAATAAAGCATTGATAATTAATACACTGTGTATTCTTTTGTGTTACTGTAACACTTTGGGTTTTTAAAATTGTTTTAATTTAATGAGTATTGTTGATTGTTTTATGTATGGGAGAATTATGTAGCATAAGTAGAATACAACCTATCACATCTGGCTTTCTTCTATACTCCATTGCAATTATAATTCAGGGATATTTTCAAAAAGGTTCTCTGGAAGCGTCTTTTCATATTTATACTCACTAAATCTGGCCAAAGGGATCTGATAGCTGTCATATTTGGTTATTGTTCTAAACTTTATAGGAATAAAAGCTGATGAATAAGATATATTTATAAATTGTTTTTATATTAACATACAAACATGGTGTCAGTAAAATTGCTTCTGAAGTGTCTAATTGGTTTCAAAGGCTGGAAAAAAGACTCTGCTTATGTCCTAGGTCTTTTTTGTGTGTCTGCAGTCACCTTTTTTCTCATGTTGCAATGTCATATGATGAGTTTCAAATCTTCTGCCTTGCTACACAGAAGATACTATGAAACTACATGGTTCTTTGGCCTTTACCTCAGTGCAACACTAATATTCTTATACCTTTCTAGTTCTGTTGCATTCATGTCCTGTGCATTGATAGATTTGCTCTATGGTTGAAAAATGTTGATGGGCATGAGCAGAGCACCAGAGAGACTTTGGGTCATAACTTGCAAGTTCGCCTGTCATGCCTTATTTTTATCAAAGATCACACCTCCCCTTCAGTGATTCCTGTCCTAAGTAGGTTTTGATGAAATGGCATATGATGAATACAGAGCATGCAAAGAATCACCTGAACTGTGTCACTCCTTTCTTGTGGAAATAGATTCTAAGCTTGAGCTCCTGCTCTTTCATCCTAGTCTGGAACCCTTCTCTGTGAGATCCCGGTTTGTCTGCCTTGTGCTGTGCTTCCAAAGTTTCTGTTCTTCTAAGGGTCACACTTTTGGGCAAAAGATACTTGCTATATCTCCATTTCTGATAGAGGCATATGACTGCTCTGTGGTGGTTTTCAGTCCTGCTTTCACAGGCCTGTCTGAACTTGCTCTCGGTAGCTGGTATGGATGGCTGTATTACTTCTGGGATTTCACCTAGTATAAAGGTAAGATACTGAATTTTTCTAAGTATACCAGCTCATTTGGATCTGGCTTGGGACTCTGTTGTAGGCATTTGCATAGCAGTTTTGCCTGACAGAGAGGAATGCAGGTGGCATGAGAGAGACACTGCCTCCTGTTCACATCTGATAACAGTCACTGGCAGCTGAATTACACTGTCTATTTTCAAGCATACTTAAGGGTTGCAAATGAGGGCTTTCAGAGAGAGGATCTGGAGATTTAGAAATAACTTGCAGGAAATCTAAGGAGAATCTTGTATATCACTTACCTTATAGAAACTTCTATTTCTGGTCCTTTTAAAACAATAGAGACCCAAATCAGATATTATATAGGTTCCCTTAGTTAGACTGACCCTGCAATTTGAAAAGCCCCTTCCTTGCTTCACATGGATACTGAACATTTAATCTCTCTGAGATTCAGTAGTGTAACATTGGAAGAATGTGTCTAAAGGAATAGAATACATCTGATGTTATGAGGGGGTGGAGAGGTCGGTGTCAGGAAGCAGAGGCAGAAATTTTTGGGGAAACTCGTAAAAATTTTAGAGAGATGGACTTCATACCAAGAATGAAGGAGGAACCCCAGCATTAGGTTATTATAGGATAAACTACAGGAAAGGGCATGCATCAGTAAATTTAAAAAACAAACCGAACCAAAACCTCAAAGCTTCAGACTTGTAAAAAGGTGTAAGTTCTTCTGGTATAATAACAAATCAAAACCGAACATCACCAACAGGAAAAGCTCACTCAGAACATAGTATTATAAAGTTCAGGACATAAAAATATATTCCCCATTGCGCTGGCTTTGGCTGGCATAGAATTAATTTTCTTTGCAGTAGCTAGAATGGTGCTTTGTTTCAGATTTGTACTGGAAACAGTTGATGACACAGGGATGTTCCTGTTACTGCTGAGCAATGCTTACAAAGCATCCAAGTCTTTTCTGCCCTTCACATTGCCCCACCAGCGAGGAGGCTGGGGGTGCACAAGGAGTTACGAGGGGACACAGCCAGGACAGCTGACCGCAGCTGACCAAAGGGATACTCTGAACCACATGGCTTCATGCTCAGCAGTAAAACTAGGGTGGAGGTTGGTGGGGGGAAGCTGCTGCTTGGGAACTGCCTGGGTATTGATTGGTTGGTGGTGAGCCATTGTTTTTCATTTGTATCGCTTGTTTTTCTTGGGTTTTATTTCTCCCATATTTTTGTTGTTTTTGTTATTATTAATTAGTATTAGTATTAATTTTATTAAATTATTAATTTTTTCTCATATCAACCTATGAATTTTCTTACTTTTACCTTTCCAATTCTCTCCTCCATCCCACCAGGAAAGAGTGAGTGAGTGGCTGTGAGGTGCTTAGTTGCCAGCTGAGGTTAAACCATGACAGCCATGAAAGACTGAATACGTCACTCAGGTTATGCGACTTGATAGGAAAACTTTTACAGTTGCATTTTTATTCACATTTCAAGTTGATGCTTCTTCCTTCCCCATTAATTCTTTATCTTATTTACCCTTTCGTTGTGCACTGGCTCTTTAGTGGTGCCACAGTTCTAGAGCTGGACAGATCTAAAGGTAATGTATGAGGAAGCATTTCAGAAGGGCAGAAACATCACAGAGGATCTCCCAGAAAGGTTTAAGATAAAACAGACTAAATCATTTGTTCCTGCTGTATACTCAAATTATTTTGAATACAGTTTCAGGAACAAAGCATAGCTACATTTACTTACTGAAATTATTGAGTGTATAGATATGTCTGTGTAAGGCTCTAAGATAAAATTGTTGTTTATACTTACTAATTTCTGTCAGTTTGTGTGCATTGAAGCACAGATTTATATTTTAAAGAAACCTTAACATTCCCTTTTGAAGAAGCAGGTGTGGAAGCCATGTCAGTGAGAACAGTTGTGGAGTTCTTTCATTTGATAGAACTTGTGCATAAGACTTCTTTCCTTGAGTCACTGGTCTCTTAGCTGCTGACATTCTATTTCTGTTTGGATATTTTTGTTTTCTCTCTCTTGCAGAGTTTGAATAGTTTAAGTTGCAGGTTCTGTTTTGAGCTAAGGAGAAACGGAGCTTGTCTTTGATGGCTAAACTTGAGCTCAGTTTTGGTTTCAGAAATTATTTAACTCAGGTGAACAGATTTTTTCAGCCCAATAATGCAGTGGTTTGCTGCAACAAGTAATCCTGGAAAGCAGAGATTATTTGAGAGTCTTTGTTGGTTCTTCTCTCAACTTTTTTCCTGTCAGCAAAGCATTTTTGGCCCTTTCTGAAGAAATATGTTTTATTTTGTCTGTAATTTTCTTGAAATGCCCAGTATTTTTCTTTACTAAAAGGAGAAAATAGTTTTTCAAAGAATTGATTAATTTATTGTTTTGTCATGTTTGTTGCAACCACAACCATAAGTTTCTCTACAGTACATAAGTCTATAATACAGTGTATTGTTCCTTATATTAAATCAATTCCCTCTTCTGGTTTCTATCCAATATGCAAAGTAAATAATTGCCAAAACTATTCACTTTTGTGCACCCTATTGTGATAGAGAAGGTTTTTGTATGACAACATGAAGATGTAAGATGCTGGGATAGGATTTTTTTTTTCCAACCACCATCGTTTTATAGCCATTATTGTCCTTTTCTTCCCCTTAGTGGCAACTTTAACAATGATTAAAAAAAAAAGAGATACTATTAATAAAAGCAGAGTCTATGAATGGCACTTATGCCTTAAAATGCATGGATAGAGCATAGTGGCTCTGTCATTAAAATCTGTTATTTCAATTACTGTTTCTCCCTCCAAAGTGCTGTTTTGAGTTTCACTGGTAATTAATCTTTTAGCTATATAACTGTGAATTTGTTTGTGTTTCTTGAATTTTCTTTAATGGAATATGTCCCCTGATTGTTCTCATTAGCTGAAAGAGTCCTTAGGATATTCTTGCACAGAATAATTGTTTCCCTCTTCTCCTCTATTAGTTTTATAAATTATTTAGAGACTAGGAAACTATCTACTTTCCCTGAAGCTAAAGGCAAAGAAGAATTTGGGGTGAGCTTCTACATCGGTTTTGTGCCTTATAGCCAAAGACTTTAAAAAGAAAGAACATTTGGTTTGGTTTGGTGTTTTCCAGAAAAAACATTAACTGCAGACCAATTATGTCTGCACTAAGTCTCCCATTAATATAACTTTTAAGGCTTAATGAAAAGATTCAGGAATTGAAAATCTTGTCCACTTCTCCAAGTGCATCAGCTTACCTAATCAAAGAGCACCTCTCTGGATCTGTGAGGCCCTGGCTGCCTGTCTCTGTTCAATCAAGGTGGTACAGACGGGTCAAACAAAGACGTATCACAGCAAATTCTTCAGATGGGTCAAATTTTTCCAGCTGAAGTGTTACAACTAAGACCCCACCAAGCAGTTTCTTGCTTTTACAAAAATTAAAAGTTTAAAAACCCAAATGAAACTAATTAAAGAAAAAATAAACAAAAAATAATAAATTTTAAAAAATGGTATAAGCTATTCTGTTACCTGCAAGTGCTGTTTGCAAGCTTATCTCATGAGCTTATGACTGACTTACAATTAGCTTCAACATTCTGAATTGATGTCCAGTTGACAGGTTTTACACTTCATTATGCCAAAGACAAGCTTTGTACATGTATACACATGTATGTCCCACTGGCACATCACAGCTTGATACTCTTGTCAGTTCTGCAGATACTTACCTGATTTATTCTGAATAAGTTATTTGCTGTAAG